ACAGGGGCTTACAATTATATGTATACCTACACAATAGTAGCTGCTGCGCACTGCTACCTCTGTTTTTTTACTATATGTCTATATAACCTGAATCAAGTAGAGACTGAGAGATCAAACATTTTTTATTCAATACAAAATAACAGAATTATTCTAACTTGAATCCGCGTCTTGCTTTTCGTTCAGCAAAAACTTCCATCGCAGAATCCAAATTGAGTGTATTAGCTACTTATCTTTCGATATAGAGGACAGAGAAGTTGTTGAGTGTGTCTTCAGCCAAAGAAGCTCGACGGCATCCTTTAATAATTTTCAAAGAGCTCAGCACTAGCTGAACCGATAGGCAAAGTCAGAAACAATCTGAATAAACTGCAGCTCTCTCGAAAACTTTCTATAAAATTGTTTGCGGGCTGTCATTAGTAAAATTACGATTTTCTGAAAAATGCATGCTCGTAAAACAGGCTAATATAATTCCGAATATTTTTCCATCAAATATGACGCTGGCTTCTAATTCATTTTCTTTCAGCTTGACTAATTTCTTTGGCATCAAAAAACCAATCACATCATTCACTTCACGAAATCCTTAAGCACGTTCTTGCAATTCGTTGCTCATTGAATCCAAAACTTGATAGTAATTTATTCAATGTTTTTTCTCTGTTTCCAGTGGCGAGTCAGCAGCTTTTTCGTCGAACATTTTTTTGATTTTCCTCTTTCTGACAATGGGAAAACCAGGATTTTCCCATTCCATCTCTTCCCATTTATTCTTAGCCTTCAGAACAAAATTATCGTATGTGCTTTCGCTCATCAAACCTTTTAATTTTTTTAATGCTGCTGAAATGCACCCTTGAGCCATCATCAAGTCTATTTCTTTCTTTTGCATTTGAACTTGCGCATTATTCATTACGCCCAATACCATAACAAATTGGAAAAAGGTCCAGTTCATGGAGGAAAGGAGAGATCTTGCATTCATTATATCTTCGCCAGCAGCTCCCACTCTTCATCTTCTATGCAATTGATAATATATTCAAAAAATTTCTTCCACGATATTATCATAAAGAAAATAGATATGTCATCAAATAAAAAATGCACAGTATTGTGAAAGTTTATGGTTATAACCATTGAAGACGTGAAAAGACTGAAATAGACGCATTAGAGTCTTTATTAGACTGAAAGAGGCTGATTCATACCACGAAGATATTGGTTCAACATGCATGAGCGCTTTTTGATACATCTTGCTTGCTTAACTTACAATATTAACAAAACCCAGCTGCCACTTTACCTATATACCAAACTTGTTAAGAGATCGGATCTTCATGATAGGGAAACTCGTTCTTGTAATCTCTATGATGTTCCGTTACATAGTACTGAACAGTTTAAAAACTCATTTACTTATGTTGCATCTACCATGTATAACTCATTGCCAGATGCAGTAAAAGATTCGATCTCACTTAGCAGCTTCCGAAATAGAGTCAAATCCCATGTGAAAAGAGCACAATAGTTAGTTTTATTTTTGTTGTATTAATTACACCCATCATTATTCGCTCATTATCATCTAATTGTTAGTATTGTATTATTTACGGGGGTTGCATGGAAGAGCAACTATGTTGAATGCCGCATCCCTCATCAAATGAGTTTTTTTTGTTTGTTACAATTTATCTAAAAAATAAAGACATATTATTATTATTATTATTATTATTATTATTATATTTATTTTCTGAAAATTTTATGCCAGGTAATAATATATCACTGTAAACACAAAATGAAAAAATAACCCCTCCACTCCTTGAGAAATAAAAGGGTCATTCGGTCTTTTTTTTTAGAAATGAAATAGTCAGTTTTCAAAAAAATTCTTAAGAAATGAAAGGGGAATTTTCTTATTCAAACTGAATGCTAACGCGCCGATTCATAAACATTACGCAGATGGTCATTAAAAGAATACACCTATAACAACACACTGATTTCTTGTTATTAAATTTACATTCTGAAGCGCGGCAATGTTCATTTTGTCATTACTTAAATCCACCACTGTGACGGACAAAACCACAAAACAGTTGTTACACTGGATTCAAAGGAGATTGTAAGTATTAATATTAATCGATTTGCAGAAAGACAAAAAAGAAGAATTAATTTTGTTTTTAACAATAAATTGTTCATTTATTAGATTTAATATTTTAATCACTTTTAGGCTGTACCCTAAGAGTACAAGGGTAGGGTTATCATCTGCCATCCGTCCGCCAGTCAAGTTTTTAATTTTTTTAACATCTTCCTGAACATGAAGTTTTTTTACCAGTGTGACCCGCCCAGACACAAATCCTGGATCCGCCGTTGAGCATAGTGCGATCAGATATGCCCATTAATAAGTTATTAAACCTTTATCTTTTGATTTATTATAAATAAACATGCTTAGTAAAATTACGAAGTGCATTGGTAATACCCCAGCAGACTCTGACACTAGATCATGTTTACTCTGTTCTGGATATGGATATACGAGTAAATATGATTCATGAACTTTTATTTATGATTATTGATAACTGTTTTGTATAATAACTATTTGCAATTCCGTTTCCGTACGTTCGACCAAAGGGCTGAAAATAAATAGTATAAGCAATTTAAGGAGATTTGGATCTGTTGGGATATACAGGGTGTTCCTTAATGATATGCGAATATTTAAGGGTGTGAATCTACATGAAAAATTAATGTTAGTTTGCTTTATAAACTATGGTCCAAAAATGTTTCCTTACAAAAACTCGGGTGTTGAAGTTTTAGGAAAACAATGGAAATTAATTAATATTTTCAGAACCGCTTCACATATTTCACTGATATTTAGTACCAAGTGATAGTTAATAAAGTTGAATATTTTTCAATGCAAAAATAATTTTTAGATTTAACAGTGGCGTGCGTACGGGTATTGACTTCGATATTTTTTAAGAAAAAAATGGTACGCCAACGGTTTTTTTCCAAATATTTTTTTTAAATTCCCCGTTCAATTTAAAACAAATGATATCCCTTGAACTGTTTTCCCTCGATGCGCATATTTTAAGTAAAAAATAAAAACCGTGCTATTGTCTAACTTGCAAAATTATTATTAATGTAATTGGAAAAATTAAACACTAGGGGTAATGAACAACAACTGACAACATAAACATAACATTAAAATCAACGAGATGATTACAAAAATTGTTAAAAATGGCCCCCTTCATTTAGTATGCATGCTTCCGCCCTCCTTCTCATGGAGTTTCTCGCTCGTTGAAATATCCCTGGAGTGTTTTTTATTCTATCACAAGCTGCAACTATTCTTTCTCTTAATTCATCTACAGTATTATTGGGACTTGTGTACACTAGTGTCTTAAAATAGCCCCACAAAAAGAAACTTAAACTGTTGAGGTCTGCGCACCTGGGTGGCCATTCTTGGGGCTCACCGCGGCCAATCCGATTTGGATAAACAGTTTGTAAATAATTACGAACCGCTACACTGAAATGCGCTGGTGCACCATCATGCATGTACCACATATTGGTTTTTATTACTAACGGAACATCATCAAGCAGCAAAGGCAACTGTGGTTGAAGAAAATTGAGGTAAGTCTGTCCGTCAAGTCCTCCCGGCATGAAGAATGGACCAATAAAGGGGTTTGTAATAATTCCTACCCACACGTTAACCAAAAATTGGTGTTGGAAATGGGTTTCGGTTATGGCATAGGAATTTTCTTCTGCCCACAAATGATTATTGTGGAAATTCTGAATGGCATTTCGAGAAAAATTAGCTTCATCCGTGAACATAATCATTGATTCAAATTGCGGATTTTGTGTAATTTTTTGAAGATACCACTGGTAAAAGGTTACCCGCGTTCGAAAATCAATGGGAAGTGATGCTTGTACTCTTAAAATATGGTAAGGATGTAACAAAAAATCTACTAAAATTGTCCAAACAATTTGATGGCAAATATTTAAGTGTCTAGCGATCTTCCTCATGCTCGTTTCAGGATGTTCTTCGACTTCGTGCAGCACTGCTTCCTTAATTTCAGGTGTTCTCACACTTGAGGCCTACCTTTAGATGTTCCTTTTTGGACAGAACCAGTCTCAATAAGACGACGATGAATATTAGAAAAGGTTCGACTATCTGGCAAAGCACGATTGGGATATCTCTGGTGATAAATCCGTTTGCCTTGCTCACCATTACCGTCAGCAAGGCCATATACGTAATGCATTTCCGCCATTTCCGCATTTGAATAATTCACCATTATTAACAAGATTGTAAAAAGTAAATAATGCAAAAGATGTCACAGCGAACAGATTTGAATAACAGAGACTTGTAAGATCTCAAAAGCCAGTGACATATTCCAGAGGAACTAGATGTTTATTGCTAAATTGCATTCTGCTTTTATTTTTTTACTCAAAAATGGCGCATCAAAGGAAAACAATTCAAGAGAGATCATTTGTTTTAAATTGAACAAGAAATTCAAAATAATTTTTATTTGCCAAAAAAAACTATTGGCGTACCATTTTTTTCTTACAAAATATCGAAGTCAATACCCGTACGCACGCCACTGTTAAAGCTAAACATTATTTTACCATTAAAAAATATGCAACCTTATTAAGTTTCACTATGAACTAAATATTAGTGAAATATCTGGAGCGGTTCTGAAAATATTAATTAATTTCCATTTTTTTCCTAAAACTTCAACAGCCCGAGTTTTTGTAAGGAAACATTTTTGGGCCATAGCTTATAAAGCAAACTAACATTCTTTTGTCATGTAGATTCACACCCTTGAATATTCGCATATCATTAAGGAACACCCTGTATAGCTATCACTAGCTTAGTGCTATTTTCTCCGGCATGAACATAAATGTACTGAGTCTCATTTGTGTCTAACTATGGCAATCTGTTCGTCTGGAAGGAAACAGCTCATTAAATATTTTTCTTGTTTCGAATGCTCAAAACAAGCTTTATTAGAATAATTGTCCAGCAATTTTCTCCGAAGCAGGTCAAACAGAAATTAGGCTTTTTCGACCAAATAGCGCGTCTTGAAAAGGTTGTGTCCTACATGAGGTTACGTTATGTTTAGTTCAAGTGATAGACGATTGAAAATTCGCTTCTGACGATATTTTTTCGCAATAGTGCGACAGTTCTTCGATTGTGTCTGAAGAGTAGTGAATGGGAATAAAACGAGAGAGAAAAGAAGGAAAGGAAAAAAGTGAAAAAGAGGATTAAAAAGTAGGTATTTAACGTGCGATGCGTAGGGAGCATTTGTCATTTGATAAGGTATAAGCAATTTTAAGCGATCTACCAATAGTAACCGGTCATGTTTGGTTTTGACTTTTTCATCGACACGGTTTGTAACAGCTAACATATGACGACATGAACTGGCGCTGCATGAGGTCACTGTTTCTGACAGTTAAGACAGTAGCAAACTTGCTCAGGTGGTCGTTTCTATGCGGTTCTTGCATATCAAACGTCAATCCACGAATATAACATAACCCTGATGTCTTCTTCTTTTGTGCCTTTTGTGTTTGTTTGATGTCGTTTGAGAGAAATAATATCAGATGACACGTCACACAGATCTACTAAGTTTTTAATACTCACAGTTTTTTAGATATTAAAAAGAAAACCTGTAGGCCTTTAATATCACAGTATTTACGTAACATATGTTTGAATAACATTTATACTCGTTGACGCTCCACCACAAAACCATGTAACAACTCTGTTCTCAGATCGGTGTTTTATGTAGAAAGGGCAAGTGATAGAATAATCAAGGGCATAACCAAAGAATAACCGCAGCTCATCACGGTTCCTCGCTTAAAATGTGTAACGGAACCCAGCGGAATAAGTTTGCTTTCCTTCCCTTATCTTCTCTTCCCCTCGATGCGAGTGTACCTTTAACCGATTTTCTAATACGGAAGAGACTATGGCAAAATGAAAAAAAAATGGCGTCAATCTGGTTGACTCTGTATTTGCCACTCGATATCGAAAAATTTCGAATGTTATGTGACAAGTACATCACGAAAAAACATGTCACTCGTTTCATCAGTCTGTCGGTCTGTTGGTTTGCCGGTCTGTCGGTCTATCCGCTAATCTTTGGACCGCTTATAACCTGTAAAGTACTGCTCCGCATGGATATTATGTATCTTGAAAAGTGACATTATATCGATTTTTGTTGACTTGATATTGTTTTTTTGACATAACGTAGGTTTTTCTACAAGATGTTAACTTAGCACTAGCTGATGGAAACTTGTTATGAACTCGTTTGGCTATGATGTGATGTAACATCTGCTTCAGAAATGGCATTATATTGGAGGTCTAAGCTGTTAGTTGTATACTATAGACAATAGTTGGAAGGAAACGACAGTGCATAGGTGCATAGTGAGGATGTATTTCAAACTTGAAATTAGTTGCGCATCCACTTTTTCTTATTCAGCCTCGAAATTACATATCCCTAGTTGGTGAAGTAAAAGGTGAGAAAATGCTACAGACAGGAATATTTATGAAAGTGAAAAGGTAATTATATTATTTCTTATTTTCAGTCATTCAAACTTTATAAAAATTCATTTTGCGATGTCAATAGAGAATACAAATCAGCGCTTAGATGTACGGCATTGCAAAAATGGATGAAGCGTGATGCGTCATTCCTAATTTTTCTGTGATGTGGCTTGATTACACACATTGTGTGTCATTTCTCGTAATGCTCCTGAGAGTTTTTGAAAACACAAATAAAAAACAAGAAAAATCGAATTTATAACTTTGAACATAAACTGTCTTCAGAGAGGACAACATATAAATAACCCGTAAGGCACAGCAAGTATCACTGATTGCACATGCACACCAATACACATAATCATCCAGATGCGATCTTGCTACTCAACCAACCTTCTTTCTTTCACATATTATCAAATAAACACTACACTACTAGGCTTCACAGATCATATACTTGCTTTCTGTAGCCAACAATGCGTGTAGTTGAGTCATTCCTCCATAGATGGATGGTCACAGCGTTCATAGTGAGCAAACGTGGAATGAACTATTTGCACCCTAAAAACTACCTAGTCTGCAAGGTATTTTATTGTTTTTTTATAGGATTTTTGCATAAGAGCGGTTCGGATTTGGATGAATATTCCATACAATGTTGATGCTATGCTAAGGAATGTAACCAGTTACAATAGGCTGCGAATAAAAAATAAATCCAATCTCTAATAATAAGTGACGCCACTAATCAACTACAAGATGTTTCAGAACTGAGGGATCAAACTTCTAGCTGTTATTCAGTGTAACAGTAGAAAACATTTGAGTACAGGGACCTATATCCGGAAAAGTGTCACTACGGCACTACGGGCCTAAGACGCGTTAAAATTTAGAAAGACGATGAATTGCCTAAATAGGATTTAATGCATTTAATTCTTGCCTTTTGTACATATCACAAGAATTGTTCAAAATGTCTTCCCCCATGCATGTTGGTTTTAAACATGCCTTTCTCGGAGAGCCGCCGATGTATAGCAATAAACGTTTTGTATCCCGGATGCTGTCGTTCGGGATAACGTTCTTGATACAACCGCGCTGCTGCTCGTGCATTGCAGCTTGTTGCTCCGTATGCCAAACGCATATCCGCCAATTCTTGATTGGTAAAGTTTTCCATTAGTAACAATTAATTTTTGTTAAATTCTTGCAAACTTCACAAATACGATAGCACATCGATATGGAATGCAGCTACAAAAAACAATCTCTGTTATCGTTTTTAAAGATAACAACACACAAGCGGCGGATATGGGTCCCTATACTCAAATGTTTTCTACTGTTGGACTGAATAACCCCTACAAGTTTGATCCGATAGTTCTGAATCACCCTGTATATGATATATATATATCCATATATATATATATATATATATATATATATATATAAATTATTCACATGTTAATTTACGACAAATAACTATGGAATAGTAAAAACTTTTATGAACTCCACAAAATTGCAATAAATAATAGTAATAGTGTTTATCAAGACCATCAATCTATTTAATTGTTCACTAGGTCTTTAACAATAAATGCTACTTGAAATTTCTGGAAAAATACCTATATGTATAGCGACCAACTTAAACAAGGAAGAGTGTAGGGCCATCTTGTAATATAGATTTTGTCTAATTAGCTATTCGTTGAGAGTAGGATTTTGTTGAAGCATATCATTTTTTATAATAAAGGGCTCAACCTAAATACCAAGGTACCGCGATTGGCATAAGGATGTTTCAGATGTCTGACTGATTCTAATCTTGAGCTGATGAATGTTCGCAGGACTAGGGAAGGCCTCTACGAAGGAAACAGCGGCCAATCCTCGGGAAAGGTATGGATATGATAAAAATTATGAGATGTCGATTATGTTTTATTGCATACGTACAACAAAGAAAATCAGTTATGAGATTCTCGTCACATTTGTGGTACCAATATCTTTTTCAAACATACTGTTAAGACATATAGACTGGCAGAAATGTTAAACTATAGTAAGTTTTGAAATTGTCATCTGCACAGTGCACATGCATAACCAGTCGATATTAGAGTCACAAGTAGTATTTTTTTAATACTTCACTTATTACTCCTTCAACTATCAAACACACTTTCCTTGATAAGCATTGCGCTACGAGCCCTCCATTATAATTGCAGTGAACAACAAAAAATAATAACAACACAACCCTTGAAAATTAGAAAAAAGTATATATGTATGTATATATAACAAAAATTGGAAAATAATGGGCAAAATCCGCAAAAAGTGGATTCGAGCAGAAAATAGGATAGGTAACCCGAGCGATACGTATTTCTGCTGGTTGGCTTCATCAGGCCCGAAATGAATGCACATATGAAACTACAAAAGTAGATACACATGCCCACACATCCGGATACGGGTGTAACCTTTGGGCTTGAAGTACCACAGCAAGTGGCTATAACCGGCCGCGTGTTGGTGGTTAGACGTCTAATTGAAAATTCGAGGTCGTATAGCCATTTTATACTACAATGTGTAGGTTGGCTCTTGTTGTGGACTTCGTGTGTCGTTTTTTCCCCTCCAACTTCGTTTCCTCAGGTTACACCCGTATCCGGATGTGTGGGCATGTGTATCTACTTTTGTAGTTTCATATGTGCATTCATTTCGGGCCTGATGAAGCCAACCAGCAGAAATATGTATCGCTCGGGTTACCTATCCTATTTTCTGCTCGAATCCACTTTCCTCCTTTTTGCGGATTTTGCCCATTATTTTCCTACTTGTTGTTATATATATATATATATATATATATATATATATATATATAGGTGAAAAATTAAAGCTTCCGCTTTTTGTTGGGTACTTCGACAAGATTTAAGCAAAGAGGACTCTTTATACTTTTTTAATTCTCTCTAGCTTTCAATGGACTTTGCCATCATCATCAGGAGCTGCAATTACAATGATAACAGTAGCAACAAAGGTGTAAAATGAATTTAAATTGACTCAACTTACAGTAGTATGTGAGAATGTTGCTAATTGTTGTTTACGCATATGATGAGGGAAACGTCCAGTAACATGGTGAGAGCTGAATAGGTTGCACAATAGTCAAAATTTATACAAAACATGACAAGAACACGTTAAAACAGATTAAAAATTATTTTAAAAATTAGAACATTACATCGTGAAACCACCTGATGATTGCACAAATTAGTGGTCATGGAATGATGAATTGATGAGTGACATGAAACCCTTTGACAGAAGGCCGAAGGATGTCAATGTCAGTATTGAAAGATACTGTACTCAACTGTAAGTTGAGTCAATTTAAATTCATTTTACACCTTTGTTGCTACTGTTATCATTGTAATTGCAGCTCCTGATGATGATGGCAAAGTCCATTGAAAGCTAGAGAGAATTAAAAAAGTATAAAGAGTCCTCTTTGCTTAAATCTTGTCGAAGTACCCAACAAAAAGCGGAAGCTTTAATTTTTCACCTAACTGGTCTAGACGACAATGACCACGTCTCAAGTTATATATATATATATATATGTTATAATAACGATTATAAATATCCTGTCAATTTCGAGGCATTGGTAAGCTGCGATCAAAATTAAACAATCACTTTGCTAAAGTATATTTTTGACGCTACATTCCCATGGTTTTGAGCACGAGATGAAAAGTTCAGTTTTGACGATCCTGAAGGATTATTTTGTTCAATTTCCGAACGTATGGTACGTCAAACAATTACGAACAATGAAA